AAAATCTCTCCTGAGAATCAAAGCAGTCTTAACTATGAACCCCTGTAAAATCAAAAGGCAACTTATATACTTACAACATATACAATGACATAGAGTAAACATTCTCATTTAAAAGAGATTTAGCGGCATAGCAAGGAAATAACAAAACTTAAACTCAGCAAGGGAAATAACAAATTATTTTTCCATGCAGCTCCATATTTGGCTTCTAAGTCTTTAAATGGCAACATTTGGGCTCAAATGGCCCTTCCTGTTAATTCTGTTGCCTGCACACATGATCTATCTTGGTCTGGTTCTATTCCGTGCCTTTTGTTTTCCTTAGCAGACATCCCACAATCCTGATATTTCCAACATCCTGGAGTCTCTGTTTCAACTTAGGATTCATCATCAATGCTTCATAAAATGGGCTCTTGGGGCTTCCATGCAGGGAATCCAACCCTGTCACTGATTGCCAGACCTCGGTGTCTTTCTGGAACCTTGGAGTAATCCTCCATGATCCCATAGTTCTTGCGTGCCTACAAACGCAGCATTGCGTCAATGATACTGACAAATACTATCGTTTGAACTGTAATCTGGCTCCTTCCACTCCAGCTTTTATAGTCTCTGCGCACCTTTTGCAACCCAAACTGATAAAACACTTGCCTAGGCAGTTGTTTTCCAACAGGGAACCCCTTCATCAGCATTCTCTGTTCATGTTCTCTCCTTTCATGTGAGTTTAGATTTTTCATAAGCTGAAACCTTAAATGGGTTGATGGGGTCTAGCTGGGCAGAGGCCGAGGTGTGTATCATTCCATTATTCCAGTACGAGCCCAGGGACAACATTTGTTGAACCACCTCTTAAATATTTATGTAGTGATATGGACCTGCAGGCTGCGTTCCTGCCTGGATCCTGGCTAGCTTACACCCGAAATAATTACACAGAATCTGTATTCATCTAAACACTGCCTGGCCCATTAATTCTAACCTCTTATTGGCTAACTCTCACATCTTGACGAACCCATTTCTAATAATCTGTATGTCACCATGAGGTCGTGCCTTACCAGCATGAGTCTAGCCAGCGTCTGTCTCAGATAGGGGAATCATAGTGTCTGCCTGACTCTGCTTCTTTCTCCCAGCATTCTGTTCTGTCTACTCCATTTATCTAAATTCTGTCCTATCAAAAAGCCAAGGCAGTTTCTTTATTAACCAATGAAAGTAACACATAGACGGATGACCCTCCTACATCATATTTAGCTTTATAAATTATAATTATTATAAATTAGGCAATATAAGCAGATATACATGATAATTAGATGGTTTGGTTGGGTTCCCCATTCAGTAGCTTTCAATTTCTTTGGGTTCCTAGATAAAGGCATATTTACCTTCTTCTAACAAGCTCTTAGCTCTCGTTTTCTTGGGGTATCTCACCCTTCTTTTCAGCCTGAATGTTGGCCTTGGCCCAGGGGAACTGATGGCAACTTCGTCTCTGCCTGTGTGCTTTAGGATGCAGCTGTTTTCTCTTCCTGTTCCTCTGTCTCAGAGACAGTCCCTCCCTTTGCTGACCTCATGCTTCATCCCTGGCAGCTCTGCGCCATCAATACACTTCCTCTCTAATGTCAACTTTCCCTTTTCTCTGTGGTTTCCTCCTGATTGCTGAGAGGTCCTATATTAAGCCTTCTTTTCCTAGCTTGAAAAAATACATATATTAACCTTTTGCCTTTCTGGGTATTTCTTTTCTCTTTCCCTGGTGTGACATTTCTGTTCTATTCATTTTTTTCCCCTTTTCTTAAGACATGATGTCAGATAGCCTGACTGACTTGATAGACACTTGAAGATGACCTTCAACTCCTTATCTTCCTGCCTCCACCTCCTGTGTGCTAGGGCAGGACCAGAGGCATGCATCACTCTACTGGTGTTATGTACAGTGAGAATATGACAGATCTTAGGGCTTGAGAGACAAGCACTCTACCTACTGAGATATACCCCCAGCCCTCACTGGCAGTTCTTGAAGATACAGTTCATATATATTAGTCATTCTTTATTCCTTGCTCCTTTGGGTTTTTCCCCATTTTTTCCTTTTATTGAAAATAGATTATTTTTCTCACATAATATATACTGATTATGGCTTTTCCTTCCTCTACTCCTCCTTGGTCTTCCTCACCTCCCCTCTTATCCAGTTCCACCCCTTTTATATCTCACTAGAAAGCAAACAGGCTTCCATGGGATGGCAATAAAGCAAAGCAAAATATAATATAATATAATGTGAAACAAAAACCAACACACCAGAATTGGAAAAACAGAAAGAAAAGAGCTCAAGAGAAGGCACAGGAAATAGAGATTCACTCATTTACACACTCAAGAATCCCACAAATATACTAAAGTGGAAGCCACAGTGTATGCAAAGGACTTATAGAGAAAAAAGAGAAAAGAAATATATATATTAGAAATAAAAAATAATGAGATAATAGAAAAGGAAGGGCCCTGATATGACATTATGAGACAAAGAACCTCCAAAATGTCATTGAGCTTTCTGCTGACCCTCTAGTGCTGGGCATGCAGTGTACCCTAAAAGCAGCTTGTTTCTTGGTAAGGCACCTATGGAGGAAACTAAATGTTCATTTGGAAGTGATTAGCAAGCCGAGATTGCTTCTGGGCTGGGGATGGGAGCCTATATCCAGTTCCTTTGATTCTTAAACCCTAAAAGTCTAGCATATATCTTGACCAATCTACTAACATAGTTTTCTCTGAGACACTGAACCTTCTAAGCAAGTCCCTATTTTTTCAGCCTTCAACTTCTTAGACATTTCAATGCCAAAAGAGTCCTTTTTACTGATCTGTACGTTTTCAATATTTTCTCTTAAATTCTCAGCTTTCTCTACTTGGTTTCTTTAGTAATTTATTTTCCTAGACCCCAAACCATCTGGATCTATTTTACACCATCACACGCTGCCTCTTATAATTAGTGCTGTTATATGTGTGTTCTTCGTGTCTCTCTGGCTTAGCTGTAGATGCTCAATGGTTAGGAATAAAGCCTCAGAACTCTCCAGAATGCTCAGCTCAGAAATTTAGATGCTCAGGATATATCAGTGCTTGATTGACTGCAAACAAGTCAATTAAATAAAAGATCTGAAGCTATTTGTGCAAAAGAAATGGCCAAGCAAGTCATTTCAGAGATAAACACTGTCAGTACCAAGAGAATTAAAGAAAGTCTATGTTATCCATAGGCATTCCCTTATAGTGACTGTAAGAATTAGGGATTAAAGGGAGCCACTAGAAGGAGTAAGGAAAAATTAGTTTCCCGGAGTATTCTAATGTTTTAAAGTTTACTGTAATCTAATGTACAGAAGGTTATTTATATACATACATAGATATAAATGATATAGGTATAGATTCAGATAATATAAAATTAGAGGTGTATATGCATATTTATAATAATACAGCTAGGCCTCTAGAATATTCATTTATTCTACAAATTACACATGTCTTATACTTTTCTTCATTCCATTTCATTACATCTGAATTAAAACAAGAATGTCTGATTTTATTAATGATTGACATATACAGGTCACAGTTTATAGCTTTATCTGTATAGTTATTTCATAAATTGAGGGAAAAAATTATTAACTTAGTGACAATCTCTCACTCACACTTACCAAGCCCAGTTTATTTTCCTCCTAACTCCAAATAAAATCACCTGAAAAATCTATCCTGAAAGTAGCGGGCAGAGCATTGTGGCCCAGCTGAGGAACTATGAGGAAAGTATGGAAAATTCCCTGCACACAGGCATTTGCAATTTCCTTAAAACAGACCCAGGAATGGCTGCCAAGGAAATATGGGTCCTAAAGTGTATCACTAGGTTCAGATGGGTTCCCAGGAAAAGGCCTCTACCTGCCCAAAATCTCATGTGTCTAGCTCTTGCATTCCCAACCAGCCACTAATGACAATGGAAAGTAAGGAACCTTGGTAGATTCACCCACCTCAAGTGTGTGGTTAGACCTCTCACTGCTGAGCCAAGATAGAAGCAATTTAGTTCCATTTTGTTGATTTTTTATGTATTTGAAATATAATGAGTGCTAATTCTAAATTTCCAGTTTTGCAGATAAAAAGAAACAGCAAGTGATCCAACAATCTCCAACCTATTACAAATTATGACTCTAAGCATTATAATCATTAAACTTATCATCCTTGTTTTAGTGATAGAATACAGTTCTCATTATTTCTTTATTATTTACCATGCTAATTCTTCTTCCTTTGCTGAAGTGTTTATTGCATGACTTAGTGACTTACAATTTTGTGTTCCTTGTGCGTTTTGAGCATTAGCCTAGGCATTATAGGTATTCTCAGGGTTCTATCATCTTAGATTCCTTCAACTCTTTGGGAAAATTTCATCTGAGCCTAGGATGCTATGGATAATGAGACCCACAAGCCCAGGGCTGACTGAAAACATTCTGACTTGACAGTGTGAAGTAAATGACACAAGATGACTTAGGCATATAAAACTTAAACTATTAATTATCTGGTACTTCCTACAACAGAGGCTGTAGCTCATATATCTGATCGCTATACCCAACAAGAACCAGAATATTAAACTTCTCCCAATAGTTATTTGCCCTTGCACAGGGCTAGGTAACTCCTTTCCGTCTTTGGTACCCTGTATAAACCGAACGCTATGCAAGGCGTCCTGGCGCCAGAGTTCTTTATCCTCCTCACGTCCTGTCAGTCACAATACTCTGGAAGGACAGACTTGAAATGTCAGGATTCTGGTTTCAAAAACTAAAGAGGGCTAGCAGAACTAGAGAAGCAAACAATGGACCAATCCAAACCTTTAGTACTGCTTCCTGCAGCGATTCCATGCTGCCAAATTAGTAACAAAAGCCTAGTGCCATTCCCACCCCCACAAACCCTTGAAAGGCCACGGTGTGCGCTCAGCACTTACTGCTTCTGTTTCTCCTCAAGTGCCCACCCTCTCCGCCCCGCGGTGACTATCATGTTGCTTCACTGCATCCTATGCTCTCTCTCCCCAGACACAAAGGACATGAGCGACTTTGAGAATGAAGGATTCTTCGCCTTGCACCATCGCCGAGGAGCCATCAAACAGGCCAAAGTCCACCACGTGAAGTGCCATGAGTTCACGGCCACGTTTTTCCCTCAGCCCACGTTTTGCTCTGTCTGCCATGAGTTTGTCTGGTACAACACTTGATATTTTCCTCTCGAGCTTCAAGATATGCGTATTATCACTGCTAAGCACTACGAGCTCTACCGTGAGGGAGGGTGAAGGGCCGAGTGCTGTCAAATGGTGGTCAGTGGGCTCATCAGCACTGAAAAGGTCTAAAGAGCCTGATTCAACACAAGATTTTTATAATGTGACTCTTGAAGAGGGAGATTCACTCCAGAGAGAGTCTTCCATGAGCTAGCTTTCCTTGGCTATGACAAAACACCCAAGACTATCACTTTTAAGAAGCGAAGGCTCATTTGAACTGACAGTTTCAATAAAAAACCTTTATTGCCTACCCCTTTTATTTTAGGTCTATGACAAGGCAAGACACTGAGGCAGGGCAGGGCTACCCACGACACCTTAAAGCATCCAGGAAGCAAGAGAGGAGAGAGAAAGCACCAGGGTCCCAGCATTCCTTCCAAGGGCACACTCCAATGACCTCACTTCCTTCTGCCAGATCCCATCTTATGGTTCAGTTCCTGGTTCCAAAACATTAGCACATGGCTTTGGAACATTTCCGATCCAAACCATAAGAAGGCCCAATGGAGTTTTGTTTCTGACTAAATGAGAGGCTGCTGGTATATGTGGAAAGGAGCAGAGGAGGGTCTATTGTTATTGCAAGCAGAGCTGTGCGATTTTATAGTCAACACCTTCATCATCGCAATAGCTCCACTGCTGCATTGCTGCACTCTGCACCGCACAGCACTCTCCCACGGTAACAAATGGCTGGAATGAAGCTCTTGGGTGTCTTCATCTCGGAGATCAGTGTAACCACACAGCAAAAGCTACGGTAGAGGGGAGCGAAATGATGTCTGTTTCTGCTCTCAACATCTGTGCCCGCTAAGAGATGCTGGTCCCCTTGGGCTCCTGCAGAATCATTAGTGCACAAGTTCCCACTTCGTGGGGTCTCCTCAAGCCAGCAGAATAGGATGAACTTTCATTAATTGTTTTTCCTCTAATCACTCGGTCCTCCTTTGTTTTCTTTGTTTCTAATCAACAGTGCTGCTTTAGATAGCAGATATTCTTAGATTCTCAGAATGAGGAAACAGATACTTTACAGATAAGTGCACTCATCTGTGCATAAGCCAAGAATGAGTGAGGGAGTGACTCACTCATAATTAAACAAGGCACTGACTTTTTTTAGTGAGGAGCATAGAAATTTATTGCTAGAAGCTTGGGATACATTTGGTCTGGTGTTGTAAACAGTTTGCTTGACAATGCAAAGATAAGAAAATCTTAAAATTTTAAGTAAAACAACATAAACTTAAGCTACCTTCTTGACAAGTGATGCATGTGAATCACACATGGACACAGAGGAAATCCTCTGTGGTCTTGGGAATGTCAAGATCTCATTTACCTCTAGATCATTTCTTCCTCAAATGTCGATGTGAACATGCATTTAAATCCCACATTGCTTTGTTACAGGGGGCTGAACAAGCAGGGCTACCAGTGCCGACGTAAGTACAAGGCATTTCCGCTGTATTCTCAGTACTCTTTGCATTGAATTGTTCCTCCAGAAATCACAAGTGGCAATTGTCTCTTTTCAGAATGCAATGCAGCAATTCACAAGAAGTGCATCGACAAAGTGATAGCCAAGTGCACGGGATCAGCTATCAACAGCCGAGAAACCATGGTACTGGCGTAGTTAGATTCCATTTCCTTACTCTCTTCACCTTTTCCAGCAAGTCAGATTGCCAGCCTCACTCTCAACCTCAACAGCTACTACCAGAGCCTCTGGTGAAAATAAGCTGTCAAGAAACTGAGTTAAATGGATATGTGTTTGAGACCGCAATAGTTTTTCTCCGGGTTATCTTTACTTCTTACACCTTCAAGGGGATGTTATCATCAGCGTTCTGTTATTCCCCTAACCCTGGAATAGTACTGCCCAATAGAAGTCAAATGAGAGCCATGTGTGGAATTTTAACCTTCCAAGTGGCCACAGTAAAGAAGAAACAGACAGGGTATGGTGCCATAGGACCAGTTCAGGACACTGAGGCAGGAGGATTACAAGTTCAAGGCCTGTCTGAGGAACAAAGTGAGGTCAAGACCAGCCTGAGTGACTTAGTGAGACTCTGTCTAGAAATAAAAAGTATAAAGCAGGCTGGCAATATGGCTTAGTGGTAGTGTATTGCCTAGCATGTGAGAGGAGGCCCTTGCTTCAGCCCTCAGTGCCATAAGAATCAACAAAGTCATCTAAAGGATAGACAAGTAAAATTCATTTTTATCATATGTTTAATTGAGCCAGTCTATTACTATTTCAATATGTAATCAATATAAAATATTTTTCACTACTTGTCCTGACCAAGTCCTCAAATCCTACTATGCAATTTGCTCATGGTTCTCAATTCTAGCCCTTCACCCTACAAGTGTTCACTAACCCTGTGTACTTACTTGGTTTTCTTACCCAAAAATCAGATCAGGAGTCTCCAGTTGTCATATCTGAGGCCATTGGGTCACCTCTCAACATTCATTGTTCATTCAGATTGTTCCTCCATTGTTCTTAACAGCACCGTGCAGTACCAAATGAGTGTTTCCTTAGCTCCTATTTGAAAAAGGGTCCGTATCCCTTGTTCTTGACATGGTCGCCCCATCTGTCAAGCTGTGAGCCTCCTGGTGCTTGATGCATGCTTTGACACATGATGCCACATGTGCCCTCACCTGGAAGAACTGCAGGCTTCTTCAGGTACCTCAGGAAGGTGGTAGGCCGTCTGAAGGCTAAATGTCCCTTGCTACACCTGTTTTCATTACAATTGCTGTGAGCCGCACATCTAGGAGATTATGGGAAGTTGAGACCTAGGGACACACGTGCAGTCAGGTCTCCGTCATTCTTTCAGTTCCACAAGGAGAGATTCAAGATCGACATGCCGCACAGATTCAAAGTCTACAACTACAAGAGCCCGACCTTCTGCGAGCACTGCGGGACCCTGCTGTGGGGGCTGGCCAGGCAAGGACTCAAGTGTGATGGTGAGTGCCGAGGGGTGGGGGTGGGTCCTGCGCATAGCCTGATGCCACCTGTGCATCACGGAGGGAAGACGAGAGGCTCTAGAGTGATGGCCTCTGTCCCCATCTTTGTGTGCTCACGAAGACGGATGCTGTCTCCATGAGACAGTAGATTTCCTTGACCATCCTTCTACCCTGCCATGTCTCCATCTTCACATCCAAGGAGAGAGTTCATAACTGCTCAAATTCAAAATTTAAGCTCAGTAGCTTAGGGTCAAAATCAGGGTTCAACAGGTCAAGGACCAACAGGTCAAGGTCAAAGCTCAATAGCTCAGAGTCAAGGTCAAAGATCATGACCCAGTATTTCAATGTTATACTCAGTAGTCCCGGAGTGAAATGACAGCCTTCCTCTTTTGACTGGTCCCTCTGCCAAGGACTCTCCACTCTGCCCCAATCTGTTGTCTCTTAGATTCTGGGCTACCCCCATCTTAATTCTAGTAGATTGACTCATGTGGAGCTCCTGCCCTCCTCTTTAGTATTGGTTAGTGAGATTATTTCTCCAACCTCATTAAGGAGTAAGCACGTGTGTCCCTTTGAGCAGTGAATGGCTCCAGTGAGAGATGCTCTGGGACTTTAGCTACGGAGTGTATCCCACAACTATGGCTGTGAATGCCAGTGCCCAGATGAGACAGGGTCACCCACCCTAGGCCTTCCTCTGGGGTTTGGATTATAGCAGAACTAAGATATAATTAGTATAGATTATCTTATTTTTATTGGATTTCTATACATGCTACCATTCTCTGAAAGTGGAGGTACTCAGACCTACACTGAAAAGAGAAACAAGGCATTCTTGATCTCGAACTCTTATGTTTAAAAACTGAAATGCTACAACTAGGGAGTCACGAGGGTAAAAAGTGTCTCATAAAGATCAGCAAAGCACCCTGCCTTGCCAGTGAGAGAGAAGGAGAAGGCGAGACAGTTTCTTAGCACATAAAAAGAACTTTCTGATGGCGAACTATTAAATGTATTAGCCTTTTATTTTACTTTGCGGCATTTCTTATTTCTCTTCTCTTTGAAGAGCTGGAGATGGCCTTTTAAAAGTAGAAAATCATCCTCTTCTGTCTCCCTTTCTTTGCCTCAGTACTGCCCATGTGCCTGGGGGCCCTACACATGGCATTTTAGTGAAGGCAAGGAGAAGAGTTTGGTTTACCGATTGTTACCACAGTAGTGACTGGCCAGTCAGAACTCACCTTAAGAATCCCTTGATGAGCCCCAAAGTCCTGTATGTGTCATTTCCTTCATATGACTGTTTATAAAGGAAACTTCGACATGAAGGCTTATGGAATATGTTATTAATTCTTAGGTAACAATAATGTCCAAATATCCTAGCTGTAGAAACAGAAAGGCAAATGACCACGGTCTTACTGCTTGCGGCTCCCTGTGACCATCTCGCAGTCAGGTCTCACTTCCTGGGAACCCTGGTGCCTACTCATTAAGACAGGGTTGTTCTTAACAGCCTGATCGCAAAGCTTAGAACCTCCGTGAAGATTCCTTGGCATTGTTTCACACTGACATGCTTTGCTTTGCTCTTTCTAACATTCTTTCCTTCCCATTCCATCCCCTCCCCCTCTCCTGCCATCTGTATTTCATATAACCCTCTTCCCTCTTTTCTTTTATTCCCTCTCCTTCCCCCCCTTTCCCTCCCTCCCTTCCCCTTCCCATTTCAAAGTCCGTTTTTGTTTGTCATACTCCTGTTTCCTCCACCAGGACTCGCCCTTTCTTCTTGACTGTTCTAGTTATCCTTCCTTGAGTTCTCTTTAGTCCTCTCTCTTTGTCTTACCTTCCCCTCGCCTCATAGTCGTCTCCTTGAGTGCCCTGCCTTCCCAGCCTCTACGCTGTCTTCTTTCCTTCTCTGCCAAAATTCCCATGAAAATAGTCATCCGAAGGGACTGTTTGCGATCACAGAGGTCAAGTTTCCACCTGATAGGTTAGTAACAAAGACGCACGGTGTTACAATGAAAAGGAAGGTCTCTTCCTGACTGAGCATCAGAGCCAAGCTTAGACCTGGCTACAGTTTTAAGGAGCAGAGTAAAATAAAAATCCCAATGCACCAAATTCTCAACTGGTGTCTTACTTACATATCTTTACTCCCATCACTTGAGAAGCTGAGACAGGACAATGTCCAGTTCAAAGCCAGCCTGGCCTACATTGCAAGACTCTGTCTCAACAACAACAAAATAGAAGTCTTAAAACCGCCCAAACAAATCCAATGTAGTTATATCAACAATGCAGAATTTTTACTGCCAATATTAAAGTTTTTAAATATGCCTAAAAGATTTACTTTAAATGAATTTTGTAGCAACTGGAATTTATTTGCATAAATAATGTTTAATTTGTTTTATGATGAACTATCTAGAAAAATAGGGACTATTAAAAAGGTGGAATCTGCCACACTTTTATCTTGTTCTTTTAAAGTTTAGTTTTATCTAAAATTGTGTATATGTGTCTCTGTGTGTGTGTGTGTGTCAGTGCATGTGAATCCAAGTGTTCGTGGAGGTCAGAAGAGGGTGTTGGATCCCCTGGAGCTGGAGTCATAGGAGGTTGTGAACTATATGACATAGGAGCTGGGAACTAAACTTAGACCCTTTACAAGGGCAGTGAGTGCTCTTAGTCAGCGAGCCACCTTCCAGTCCCACCTAGATGTTTTAGTATATGATGATGTAATACATTATAATGATGAATGAGAAGTTGTGTTTGCTGAACTGCAGTCACTGTGTGAAACGCTTTGTGCACGTGACTTGCTAATAAGCAGTGGAGATTAAGTTTGGGGTCTGAACTGCCTAATTCTACTAGTGCAGTGCTTTAAGTACTTTGGTAGAAGCAAGCAACACCTGAGGTTAGAGTTCCTTTCCTCTGCTGGAGCTTAGAATCTTTATGCCAATTTTTCTAGTGTAAAGTATAATGGTGATCTTTCAGAAGGAAATTTTTCTAAAAGTGGTCTTTACATGGACTCGTGAGGACACACAAGGACAAAAGGAGGGTCGGAAGGTCACGGGATGGTGTTGTTATCAGGACTTGCGAAGCAGGGAGCTTGTAGGGTGTAAGAGCTAGAAGTCTATGTAGACAGCATCAGCCTTGTAGAGAGAGCCATCAGAAAGAGAAGGACATGAGAGAGAGGGAGGGAGGGAGGGGGAGATTGTATATAGTACCAGAAATTCTACTCAGAAACCCTTAGGACCTTTTGTTCAAGCTCATGCAAGGTCAACTGTGACCAGGAAACACTGTCCTCCCCACTCATGTATTGACCACTTCTCATTCTTTTTCTGTGGAAAAGTTAAAAACTACATCTTACAAGACCTACAAAGTTGAAGGTGCACTCTGTTCTCTGAGCCTCTTTCTGTTAACTATGCCACAGATGTAAAGTTAAGACTTAAACTCATATGTAAGAAATACCCTTTTCTTCATGACCTCGATATTAACTGAAGCACAATTACAATAACTGAAGAGGTCCTCTGCCCTTCCTGTAATTGCACAATATCTGGGGGTGAATTGCTTGGGGGCCTGAAAACTGAGGCACAACCTCCATCCAACTGTCAGGCTGACACTGGCCTCGCCATCTAAAACCCCAGTGATGAAGTCTGTGACTTCCTTCCTATGGCTTCTGTGGAATGTTGTCTGATTTCATCAACTCTGAGGCCAGTGCTTAGGTCCAGTCCCTCTAGAGTGACTTCTATAACTTCCCCTAACATCGCAGTCCACCAAAGAGCTTCCTTCACTCCTGGGTCCACAATTGTTTGATTTGACCTTCCAAAATGCCATTCAGACTCTGAGTTCTGTTCCCAGGAGACTCAGCCATCCTGGATGGCTCCCAGTAGCCAGGGCTCAGACCTATGCCCTGATTGCATGGCCCCATCATCACTAGTCAGGAAGTTTACTAACAATGCTATTTCTTAAAGGAAGCCCATGGTCTCCTGGCCTCTTTCCTCCTACCCACTCCTGTTCCCTCACTTACACAAGTACCACCTCATTCCTATCCATTTCCCTTCTTCAGGCTGAGGCTGCAGCTTAAACTTCACCCCAAAGAGCAAAGAAGCTCCACCAGTGCAGCTGGGAAAGGGGATACTAAGTCTCCAGACTGGAGTGGAAGGGCACCCTCTTCTATCCTAGTATTTTCTAGTCAATAGAACCTGCCATAGATGGTTCAACAGAACCAATGTCAGCTTAGGGCTTCTATCCACAGTCCATATCAGATGCAATGCCAACCACGGACTTTCTTGCCTAGAAATAAGATGTCCCTGTGTAGCCCCAAGGACTTCTTTTCCTGCTCCTTACCAACTGCATTCCTCCTTTCAGCATGTGGTATGAACGTCCACCACCGATGCCAGACAAAGGTCGCCAACCTCTGTGGTATAAACCAGAAGCTAATGGCTGAAGCACTAGCAATGATCGAAAGCACCCAACAGGTGAAGCAGAGAAGGGGCTGGTGAGATTCTCCCTGTGTCCACTCAACAAGGGCCACTCAAGTACATTGCTCCCTCAGCCCATCATCCCTACAGGATGTCCCAGGGTGTCCTTCTGAACACTTGCCTTTATCTTTTCATATTCCTGACCACATTGCCACCTTTGAGATGCTTCCTGTCTTCATGCATCTGTGGGACTATTTACAATATCTTAAACTCTTCCTAGAATTCATTAAAATTATATATATATAACTATATAACATATATAACATATATATTATATATATATATATATATATATATGAGCTACCTACAAAGCTGGAAGAAAAGGATCTGCTTCCTGGAATCATCTTCAGAATTCTCTCAGGACACTGAGTCTAGGTGACTTCTGCCTGGCCATTTACACCTTGTCAGAGGTTCAATTCCCATCTCTGAGGACCAGTTCTCGTTGAGGCTTGGAATTACCTTCTATAGAAGCTTCTTCATCATTGACCTTCTTTCCTGCCCTTACTTGTGATGGAATGAGTTGACTTGTGTGGGGGATTCCAGCTAGTCCCCTTGAAGGGCGGAAAGGCACTAAGTTCCTGCTGCTGATGCATTAAATGCTATAGATGCTTGCAAGGCAAAGAATTCTAAGGGAAGAAAAGCTTTGGCTGTCCAGCACATTTAAAAGTCTTAAATGTCCTTTGTCCTCGGGGACAAGCACAGCACACTTTCTGTGACGGGGAGATGCTGGCAGCTACAGGTGGTTGGGCTCACTGATCCTGTTTTTATGATGCAGGCTCGCTCCTTAAGAGATTCAGAACACATCTTCCGAGAAGGTCCAGTTGAAATCGGTCTCCCATGCTCCATCAAAAATGAAACCAAGCCACCATGCGTACCAACACCTGGGAAAAGAGGTACCTATCAGTGTGATTGACTGTCAGTCAGTGCCAGTCACTTGTTCTGATCAACCTGACCCTGTGTTCTCTGGATTTGAGTTTTTTATGATAAGTTTCCCTTTTCTCTAAGATTACAGATCCAATTATCAACTTTGAGGCCCCTACTTTATTCTCAGCTGAAAATACATTCATTTTTCATACAATACATCCTGATTACAGTTTCTTCTCCTTCTAGTCCTCTTTTTAAGAGTAAAACCAAATGCTCCAAACTCAGAGTACTTTGTGAGGGGGTTGCTGGTGGGGGAGGGTGTGTCTAAAATGTCATCTCCTACCCATGTTAAATGGTTTTACAGCCATCAATCTTCTGTAAAGCAAGATGAGGAGGGGGCATTAGTGTTGTTCTACACCTTCGAGACTCTTCTCTGAGGTTTCAAGACAGGAAGGAAAAGAGTCAGGCCCTCAGCCTTAACCTTTGCCATGTGCCTACTGCTTGAAAGAACTGCAAGGGAAAATGCAGCTGTGTGATTCTGGGAACTGAGTCCTATCAGCAAACATTATAAAATATGTTCTTTGGACTTAGAGAATATTAAATTAGTTCTCTCTGTCTCTGTCTCTCTCTCTTCATGCATAGCCTTTGATTGAGTCTAGCCTTTCTCAAGTTAGACCATTTCTCAGGCCATTGACTGGAAACAGAGGCATAGTCCATACCCAAAATGGCAGATTTACAGACAGCTGGAGAAGAGTCAAACTGAATTAGACGGAATCTCAGAATGAGACATGAGAATAAAAAAAAAATGTATGGGCATCCTAAGTGATTACAGTAAACGTAGCCATTCCTGTTTAACAACTATTTGCCATTTGCAGAACCCCAGGGAATTTCCTGGGAGTCCCCTTTGGATGGGATGGATAAAACGGACCACCCTCCAGACCGTCCTCCTGAACCTGAAGTGAACGTGCCAAGACCCTCTCTGCAGCTGAAACTGAAGATCGATGACTTTGTCCTGCACAAAATGTTGGGGAAAGGGAGCTTTGGCAAGGTAGGCTCTCAAGGACTTCAGACTAAAGCCCCTAGTAGGTGATGCTAAATTCCTAGGACCAGACGGTGTGGGGGCCTGCCGAGGGAGCACCCCCAATGTGTTGGGAACAAACAGAGAGCATCCAGCATTAACTAGGAAGCTGAGTGACTCTGTGGTAATAGCAGCCTCTGTTTCCTGGATATTTGGCCCCAAAGCCATTTGCTTTAAGTCCACATACTTCGCATGCTATTGAGTTTGACATCTTTAAGCATCAAAGAATGTAGAAAGCGGCCATTTCCTGTTCACACTGGTTCTTTTGCCGTTGTTGTTGTTGTTGTTGTTTTCATTGCTTATTCCCCACACCTAGAGTATTGACCAGTGACCTTAGATGACCTTAATACCCATTTAAAGGTCCAAGTCCAAATGTGTTCACACTCAGAAGTGCTAGGGCCAAGATTTCACCTTGACTGATAAAGAGAAGGGAGAAGACACAGCTCAGACACTAACACTGTAGTTAGAGGACGTCTTAGAAAATGTACCTTGGGGAAAGTCCCCGTTCCCTACCCTTCTTGTCACTCACAGGACAGGGACAGAAGAAATAACTTACCTCTGTCAGTCATAGAGAGCAAGTACAGACTGAGGAAAGGAAAATTGAGAGAAAGGAGATGAAGAAAAAGTACCCATCCTCAGGCCTGAGAGACAGGTAGCGAAGCACTTGAGTTGCAAGCTGAGCAGCCTGCGTTCAGTTTCCAGAACCCACATACAAACATCAGGTTTGGTGGCAGCTGCTTGTCATCCAAGCACTGGAAACCAAAAGACCAGAAGATCCCTTGGACTCATGGCCAGCCAGTCTACCCAATTTAGTCTGCTCCAAGGAACCAAGAGACCCGGTCTCAACAAAACAAGACAGACAGCTCCTGAGGAACAGCATGTGAAGCTGACCTCTAGACTCCCCTGTCATGCTCCACAGTGCATGCAAACTCGAGGACACTTAAAGAAATTTCAGCCATCGGTGACAACAGAAGATTTCCAAGTTAATGATTGTAATGGGGGACATGATAGAACATAGGCTTTTGGGTATCTTCGACATTACAGATGTGTAATTTATTACTACGGTTCCTAGCTATTTTTAAAGCATTAGACAGAACTCCTAGGAAATTTTTAACCAAGGGCCATTCTCCCACGACTGCGGGAATCCAAAGCCAGCTAAGCACCTGCTGGCCAGATTTCGGCAGCAGCGTCTCCTCAGTTTATTTAACAATAAACAGGTTCAAGTCTACCACAGTCTCCACCATGGCTGAGTCACACTGTGTTCCGACATGTTTGCATTTGAACACTAATGCATTTTCTTTTCACAAAATCTACTCTGCCCTGCAAACAGTAGCTGGGATCCATGAACTCTTTTCAGCTCCACAATAATGCAGACCACAACAGTTCTTTCAGTGTTAATCTGAGTGCAATAGGCAATTTTACAGCCAGTCTTTATTATAATTTAGCAGCAATTAATGCGCAATTATAGCCTGATACAAAAATTGAAAGGGCATTATGTAGATGGCAATTGCTTTCTTGGCTCTTAGTTTATGGCTGGTTTTAGGATGGTTTACTAAAAGAGACAATTACCAACAGAGTACTTTTGTTAATGAAATGTTTATCTTTTTTGTTCCCATGTGGATTTCTACATTTGAACAAGGTTAGTAAGCTAAACATACATGCCTTGGCAAGTATCCCTGGGGACATCCTGGGCTCTAGGTACCTCCTTCCTCTGGGCGGAATGCATGGTGCTGCTTTGCCCTGAGATGCCAGGCCCTGCACACCGAGAAGACAGAACCCCAGCTGACCCATTTCTCATAGAATACTAAGAGTTCTCAGAAGCTCACATTTCATCATTTTTCTGGCTCTCCGTGGAAAACATGGCTTCTAACCAAAACAGTAGTCTGCTATGGATTTCAATCTGCCTTTAAGCCAGTGCTAACAAATTACATATTTTCTGGCGACATCAACACCATTTATGAGTCTGAGTTCCCATCCAAGCTCCAATCACTCTACCAAGCAATCGGTCAGAGGCAACTGTGCATCTCTTTTAAAACAGAACAAACAAACAAAAGACCCCCAAGGCTTCAGGTGGTCTAGGCTGATCTCAAACTCACTGCACAGCAGAAGAATGACCTTGAACTCCTAATCTTTCTGCTTCCACCTCCGCAATGCTGAGATTACAAGATTGCAGGCCATGCCTGGTTTTTGCAGTGCTGAGGATCAAACCCAGGGCTTTCTGCATGCTAAGTAAGCAATCATGTTACCAACCGGTCTACATTCCCAGCATTGCACGCAGAGTATCATTTTAAACCTAGACTCTTGCATTTTCAGTTTGGCTCCATTGCATTTTCAGTTTGGCTCTATTGCATTTTCAGTTCGGCTCCATTGCATTTTCAGTTTGGCACCATTGCATTTTCAGTTTGGCACCATTGCATTTTCAGTTCAGCACCATTGCATTTTCAGTTTGGCTCCATTGCATTTTCAGTTCAGCACCATTGATTTTGACATTTTCTAAAAGTCAGTAAAAGAAACAAAATGTTAAGAGTTTTTGTAGCTCCCGGGACTTGGGAGATGGCTCAGTACTTAAGAATATGCATTGCTCGCACAAAGGACTGGCATTCGGTTCTTGGCACCTACGTCTGGCTCTCACTGCTGCCTGTAACTCCAGCCCCAGAGTATCTGGAGGCCTCTTCTGGGCTCCTTGGGCACTTGCAACACACACACACACACACACTCATCCACACCACACATTAACAAACAAAAGGAACATCACAGTTTTAAAATAATAAAAAAGCTTTAATGACTTTCATTTGGAAAGCATTTTACAGCTGCTGACTCACTCTACTTCATCATGATTCACTTGGGGGTCGCCTTAGTCCTGTGAATCAGTGAATAAGGAAGCCCCACCACCAACCTTACACAACTTTAAAGCTGGGAAACTGAAGCCCAGAGAGGTCAGTGACTTTGCTCACACGCCCATAGCTATATAAATGGTGTGTCCTTTCAACTGTCAAGAGTCCTCTCTTGTCTGCTTCACAAGTCTAAAATTGTTTAAACCCTCTGTTATATGACATCTGGTGTCTGGTAACATCTGAGACAAGAAATCAAATGGGAAAATAAACTCTGGGGTTAGATTGTCCCCAAAGTAATTCCATGAATTTGAGTAAGCTATACTTTGAACCCAGGGATATCATTATCTTTAGTATCAATATCATTAATACCTATTCTCAGTGTTCAGAACTAGGAGTTGTTCTGAGTCCTATTGTGTAGCCCAGGATAGTCTCAAACTCACCATGTAGCCAAAGATGACCTTTAACTTCCGATTTCCCCACCCTTCCTTCACCCCCGCCCCCAAACGCTAAGATTAAAGACACACACCGTATTTGGTCTCTGAAGTGCTTCATGCACGTTAGGCAAGCACTCTACCGGCTGAGCGACACCCCAGCTTCACGATTCTCATGCGTTAAGAATAACCTTCCACAAGATGAGCTGTGGTGGCTCATGCTTTTAATCCCAGCACTTGGAAGGCAGAGACAGGTGGATCTCTGTGTTCGAGGCCATGCTGGTTTACAGAGCTAGTGTGAGGACAATCAAAGCTACGTAAAGAGAAACCCTGTCTCCAAAAAACAAAATAATAGTAATAATAACAATACTTACCTCCAAATGCGTAACAGTTTTGTGAAACCCAAGGTAGGATGATCTGAAACTCTTAAGTGACATCCTAAACAGTTAGACACTATCCAGGACAGGAACCGAGCATGCATTAATAAGAACCTTCCAAATGCATCAACAGTCTGTGAAATCCTTGCAAAGGTACGATGATCTGAAACTCTTATGTGCGATCCTAAACAGTTAGACACTATCCAGGACAGAGACCGGAGGCCTTTCTTTTCCCACCTGGCACAGATCTCTCCTAAACTCTGCTTTGTTTTCTTTAATGTGTGGAAATCCATATTCTGAAACAAAATTGCTGCCTCGCTTCCTTTTAGGTCTTCCTCGCGGAGTTCAAGAGAACCAATCAATTTTTCGCAATTAAAGCCCTAAAGAAGGATGTGGTGTTGATGGATGATGACGTCGAGTGTACCATGGTGGAGAAGAGGGTTCTGTCCTTGGCTTGGGAGCATCCGTTTCTCACACACATGTTCTGCACGTTCCAGACCAAGGTATGTTTTTTCTTACACTCTAAGGTTTCTAATCGGGTTCCTTTTCTGTGCCAATTAAAGAATTAAAATGTGTGGAAAGTCCAGAGATCAACAGGTAGCAGCAGAGAAATCTCAAACCCAGCAGACAGAATCAGCAATTGGACAACGGCTTTCCCTGAGGTTGAGCAAACACAGACATGCCTCAGACAAACAGAGAAAAAGACCCTCCGCAAAGCAGAAGTGGACTGGAAACTCGAAAATCCAGACTCTTTGCAAGGCCTGGAGTTTTTTAAGTCTCCAAAGGGTCTTAGTCCCCTGATTTACGGTTAGTCCGTTTATTGTATAAACTGTTGTATAAGCATGTCCTGATGGAGCCTTGAACTTGGTGAGTCAGGCCATCAGCACGGTACTGGCAAGCAGAAGAAAAAGCCTACAAGACTTTTGTTTAAGCTTCCAGGCTTTTGTCTCAGGTCAGGAAGTTGGGGAAGAGGCCAGCCATCTTGGAAGGTCACCACCTTTAGTACCTAGTCATGGCTCCCCTCCCTGTCTCTCTGCCTACCAGGGCGTCTGTGTTTGGGGGGTTCCTACATGCAGGGAAATCGGGTAATGTCTTCATGTTGTTCTCACCCTCAGTCTGGCCTCCTTATGTCCATTTCAAAAAGTTTCATCACTGCTAAGCACCATGGAAGCGTGACTTAGAATTCTAAGTGTTGTATGTGGGGAGAGACACTTGCTGCCAGGTCTGTCTCTGTGCACATCATTTGCTTTGATTTAATTTGTTATAAGAACCAGGCTTCTACACGGTGTTCCACTCTTTAATCTACTGTACATGTATGTAAAGGTGCAAAAAGAAGGAAAAACAGATAAAAAAAACTTATAATCTCTCTTGAATGAACTTAAGGAGATTTACACCCTGGCAATGCTGAAGCATTCATGAGCAGCCTTTGTATGGCTGGTCTATTGGACTTGTCTATATTGGGTTTCATGATCTAAGTTGACGAGGACGACCGACCAGGTCTCTTCGTCAAGAGGGCACCAGATCTCACAAAGACTAGCAGAAAAGGTGGGTGTTAGTATGAGTTTGTGGGTGAGAGAGGTTGAACAAGATGCACTTATGTCAACATCCACACGGGACACTGGCCCCTCCCTTCCGCTGACTTTCTCAGAAGTTGCTCCCATTCCTGGGAAACTCTGCGCCCATCACCTTTTCTCTTATGGACAAAAATCTCAATTGTGTTTTTCTGACTCATAGCATTCTAGAGAATTTGGAAGACTCTCAAAGATTTATAATCCCACCCTGGATAGACTCACCATTAACACTCTAAAGCCTATCATTCTAGACTTTTCTTCACCCCCATGAGCTGCTTCGAATAAGTAACAATCCACTGTAAATACCCAGCCATCTATAACCTCCATTTTTAACATCTTGTTGTATTCATTTCCTTGGATATGTGAATATTCCTCAACATATCCAGACTAAAGCGAAGACTTAGTGAGCAGACCTACGTCTGAAGCACTGTGGAGCCTACTGGCCCCAAAGCATCCTCCACTCTATAAGACAATGCTGATACTGTTACCAGGGAAATTGAACCTTCCTTTTGGCATTCTTAGTCTCATTAATAAAAGAATTTTAAAAGGACTCAGAAAACAGCCCAAGGACCAGTTTGATCGTCTTTGGAAGAACAGCAACAAGGTAGGCAAGCTGTAAATTTTAGCAGTTGCCTGTGGAAGGGAGATAGAGAGCAAGAGAGGAAATCATGCAGGAATAAGAGATAGTTTATCCTAGAACCAAATTTGAGTGACTGTGGCCCAGGAAACAAGGAACCAGGTTGATGTTCCCAACAAAGAAGCAAATTCATGGAGCTTTATAGTAGCAGAACAAAGAAAATCATACATCAAGACATTTTTTTTAATACATTGATCGAAACAACAGAGAGGTAATTACAGCAAAATGGGGGGTGTGTGTGGAATTTCTTCTATAGGCCTCAAATGCTATCAGACAGCATCCTCTGCCCTCCCATTGGTGGAAAACAGGGTTTTGTGAAGTTAATGCATTTGCAAAGGCTTATATCTATTAGTAGGATGTTAGGTCCAATACACAGATGGGTAAGCAAGGGTTCTTAGGGGGCTAGAGACAGCCCCAAAGACATTTTAATTGGGCTGTCGGATCAGCAACATGCCAAACTTTCCATAGCCACTGAAGGTTTTGTTTTGTTTATTAGTAATTTAGTTATGAAGGTCAGCAAGCAGACACATGGTAGGAGGGACCAGGCCTCAGGGAATGAGTGAGAAGTGCCCAGGGAAATCATTATGTCAGTGTCTGAAAGAATAAGAGAAGGAAGGAGACGGGAAACAATGTTTTTCTGAATTAAGACTAAGAAAAGGGATCAGGCTCAGCAGTGGCAGGGGCCAGAAGCCCTGCAGGCTGCTCCAGAAGGGCCCTCTGAAAGGAAAAGGCGGTAATCAGCCCTGCCACTCCCCAGACTGGCATCTTGATGCATCAGACTTTTGCGGGTGTAGGACTCCCTCCTGGTCAGGTGATCAAAAACAGAGCCAGTCTGATTAACTCTCAAAGAGAAAACAATATTATATGATGCTTTGGGTAAGTCAGAAGGTCAGATCTCCACCCAGGCCCAGAGGTTGGACCTAGATTCCAATCCTCTGACCAGGAAGAAACAGCTTTCCCTTGGTGAACCCCAACAAAGCCTGCAGGCCTCCACCTTTTCATATGATGATCTAAATCCTAAGAAGGTGCTTTACTTTCTAGCACCAGAGAGACGGAGGTGGGGTCTAAAGTCAAAGCCATCCACAATGCCTCAATGTCTGATAATGCAACCTAGCTACCTGACCACAGCTCCAAGCTTGTAATACTAAATCAGAATACAGATCTGAAGTGACAGATTCAGAAGAAACCCAGATAATAGAACTTGAAAGACAGAAAGAACAGGAAGTTGGGCCTGGCAGGTCTGGGGGTGCGGAAAGTTCGAAGGGGAACTTATAAGGTTCTAAAGCAGTGGTTCTCAACCTTCCTAATGCCGCGTGACCTCTAACACAGTTCCTCGTGTTGTGGTGACCTCGAACCTTAAAATTATTTTCGCTGCTACTTCACAACTGTAATTTTGCTCCCTTTATAAAACATGATGTAAATACCTGATATGCGGGTTTCTAATATGCGGCCCCTGTGAAAGGGTCATTTGACCCTCAGAGAGGATAAGGACTTATGATCCAAGAGAAAGTAACTATTCTTGGTGCAGCAAGAAGGAGGGTGAGCTTCCTGACAGTGAATGTTAGAAATTTCCTAACAGCATCTTCCGGTTTGTCTGGGTGATGTAGGTATGTTACCCGAAATCAGAGCCACAGACTCTGTCCCTGTCTCCCAGGGGGAGCCCCAAACTGCTGTCTACCCTGGGAGTGTTCTCATTGCACTTTTCTTCTTGCATTTTTTTTTCTGAAAAATGCGTGCATGCATGCATGTGTGTGTTTGTGTGTGTCATATGCACATGTGTGTGGCTTATGTACATGTATGTGTAGATGCCAATGCTTCTGTGTACTTGTGGAGGACAGAGGAGGCTGTTTGGCGTTCTGTTCTTCCATTCTCTGCCCTATTTCCTCAGAACAGGGTCTCTCACCGAATCTGGAGCTAGTTTGTCTCTGCAATCCTCCGGTCTCTGCCCCACCAGTCCTCTAGCACAGGCTTGACGTTTTACATGGGTGCTGGGGATTTGAACTCGGGTCCTCATACTTGTGCAACAAGCCTTCTTATCTGCTGAGCTCTTTCCTCAGCCCCTTGATTTTATTTTTATCTCTAAGAGTGTATTTGTAGTAAATGAATGAAATAAAAATTGAGGCCTTCCTTTTTTAAAGGATGGGAGTATACAATTTGTGCCACATACTTCCTGGGGCAAACTGACAGTTACCCTCCAAACAGTCTTCCAGGGATACTTGAGCTTCAAGATTAATTTAGCATCTTTTATATGCATATATATCATATACATCAAGTCCCCTGTGGGAATGCATGTGTATTCCCATGTGTGAGTATTGGGCCTTTTCACGAGGACACTCCTCACTTTGTCTGTCAGAGCCACGGGTCAATATTTTTCAGATTCCATGCAGTTTTGATACTTTATTGTAGCGTGATTAATAAAAACCCAGAGACAGACATTGGGGTTCAACCTGAAGACCAGAAAAGCAAAGCAGCCAACCACTGGCTCTTAACACTACCTCGTCCAAAAATGGTGATCCTGCCTCCAGGAACCCTCAGAATGAGACTGAGCCTGAAACCTGTCACGGTGCTGGAATCAGAGGCATTCACTGCTACTGCTTGGTTTCTGGGGCAAACTAGTGTGGCTGCTGGGATCAAGGTGTGTGTCACCACTGCCTGGTCTGTAGGGCTGATCAGTGTGGCTGCTTTACTCTCTGATCTTCAGACAAACTTTGTTTATTAAAATACAAATGAAAGACCACTACACTTTAACAAGACCAGAGAAAAGTGATTGTACCAGCATCTCCCTGGTATACACACACACACACACACACACACACACACACACACACACACGCAAAAGATGGAAACGGTGGCCAAGAATTTGCTCGTCAAATGTAAATGTGCCTGGTTCACTTGGATTTTAAGGACTTGAGTCCTTCTAGGAAAAGGCAAAAGAAAGGAAAGAAGAAAAGCTGTCATGACACTGAAAGCCGCAGGACCCTGAGCTTTGGAGATGCCCTGATTTATTTTTTAGATCTGCCCTGTCAAACAAAGTAACTGACTAAAGGCCCCGCATCAAGGGGAAGCAGTGATGTCACCCTTCAGCCCCAGGCCTCAGGCTTGTGCCGCGGGACTCATCTCCCGACCCAGCTCCCCAGCCCAGGGTCCTTGGGTTTAATACACCATGAATGCAGGCACAGCAGTGCACCCCTATAATCTCAGCACTCAGGAGACTGAAGCAGGGGGATCAGCAAGCTTAAAGCCAACCTGGGTTATAGCATGAGTTCAAGATCAACCTGGGCAAATCATGAAACCT